GTTACTAATAAATCCTAATATTCGCAACTAAATTAGTAGTTGCAAAAAATTGTTTTTTTAAACAAAAAAATGTAGATGCAAAATATAATATTTTAGATGCAAATTATCAAATTTTGGAGGGAAAAATCACCTAAAAAAATTGCACTAAATTTATTAGTCATTAAAGCAACCGGTTTTGTGACTAACAAAATAGTCGCAAACAATTAACTTTAGATGCCAAATGTTGGAACATGTGGGCCCCAAAATTAATCCTCTTTGCTCCACTAATGTCAATTTAGCTGGTAAATGTAACTTTTTGTAACTAATTCTGGTTAGTTCCTAAAAAATGGGTGCAAAATGTCAGTTTTGTAGTGGATATTACCATTCTTGCTCATAAAATGGTTGAAAAGAAGAAGCATCTTATTTACTCATTGGTAATTGCTCATCACATTGACTTCAACTTACAAATTGCAACTACAAATGTAGAAAGGGATTTTCTGCCATAAAAAATTGTGAGACTCATTTACGCAATGGGATCGGAGATCAATTCTTGAATGATAGTCTAATTCTATATGTTGAGAAAGATATATTGACAGTGTTGTAAGGAGATGGTGATGCAACGATTCCTCAATATGAAGCCCTGTCGAGTAGGGGTGTTCGTTTTCCGGGTACCCTATACTTTTTGAAGGAACCGGAACCGGAACCGATGGTTCCTTGAAATTGGAACCAGAACCGGAACTGACGGTTTTGGTTCCTAGGTACCCGAACAAGAACCTGTAACAACGGTTCCGGTTCCGGTTCTGGTTTTGGGTACCCTGTAAAATTACATGACCTCCTAAAAGTTTTTAAAATGGCAAAAAACCCTTAAAAACTTACAAATACCCCCCACCGCATTGTTAACAAAAATAAAATTACAAATTATAAATTCAAAATGACAAACTCCATTACTTTGTAAAGGTAGATTCTCAAAAGTCAAACCAACTTACTTTAAATGTTATGAAATATAAAAATAAATGTATTCATATTATTTTTTCTACAAAAGTTTTTATAACCCCCCTAATATTTAATTTTATTTATATAGTCTCAGTTCCTGGTTCCTAATCTGGTTCCGGTTCCGATTCTAACTATAGGAATCGGAACGTACAGTAATGATTCCAAAAATTTAGAACCGGAACCTACCCATTGACGATTGGTTCTGGGTAGAAACCGGAACCAAACCTAAGGTACCCGTCGGTTTCGGTTTAACGGTTCTTTTGAACACTCCTATTGTCAGGACAATAGTAAATGTATTTTTTTTTTCTTTTTTCTTTTGTGACAATGATTAAAGTTTGATTGATGGGGAAATCAGTTAATTGAGCGAAGTTAACATCTTATGTAGCAAGACTTTTATTGTTGAACGTGAGTGGAGATATGTGGTCATTTAACAACAACAAATTATATTAATATAACTGTACACACTAAATATCTCAACTATTGTCAAGGACAATAGTAAATGTATTTTTTTCTTTTTTCTTTTTGTGACAATGATTAAAATTTGATTGATGGGGAAATCAGTTAATTGAGCGAAGTTAACATCTTATGTAGCAAGACTTTTATTGTTGAACGTGAGTGGAGATAGTGGTCATTTAACAACAACAAATTATATTAATATAACTGTACACACTAAAATCTCAACTGTATTATGCATTGCTGTACATCAGTCTTAATTATTGGAATTCGAAGAAATATCAAATTAAAAACTTTGACAAAGTGTCAGAGAATTATTTAAACGGAATTCTGCCGACAATTTCTGACCTCAGAATGATAAATACGAAAGCCAGCCAAAAAAGAAATGCAACTGGTCATTGAATGTTACATTATGTGTGCTCTCTCAACCTTACGGATACATGTCAGAATATATATAATTAATTCTCATTATTTCATGGTTATTTCTAATTAGATAAAAGTTGACACCAGAGGTCATTTTTATTTTCGTCAAAGGATTTGTGTAGTTACGCGTACACACACAATTAGGATTATATAAACAGTAGAGTGTCTCTGGTTAGTAGCTGAGAGATAGGCTCAAATAAGCAAAACTACAATGGATGAGCTGAAAGAACCGTAAGCCCCAGGGACAATACTTGAACAGCTCAGCTCTTCGATCTGTTCTTGTTTCTTGAATCTGACGTACCAATTGATGATTCTCAAACTATGTCCTTACTCAAGGATGTTTTTCTTCCCATCAACTCACGTTTCTCCTCTGTCATGGTACGTAATCTCTTCGCTATCTCCTGCTGTTTTATGTAGAGTTATTAATTGAACTATATTGAAAACAACTTTCTGTCATTCAATCCCACCACCATTATCATGCATATAATTAATTCACCTTTTTAATAATAATATACAAGCAACAAACCTATGATTTCCCTTTTTGTGTATATGGTGTTAATAACGGGTGGAATTTATCAACAGGTTGTAGACGAAAATGGAGAGAAACAATGGAAGAGAGTGGAAGTTACACTGGAAGACCATGTAAACGTGCCCATATTCCCCTCTGGACTTTCACCGGAATCTTATGACAACTATCTTGTGAATATATTTCCAAAATAGGAATGGAAGAGTTCGCAAAATCTCGACCTTATGGGAAATTCATATATTCAAATACCCTACTACCACTGCACCCGGTGTTTTAATATTCAAACTTCACCATTCGCTTGGTGATGGCTTCTCTTTAATGGGAGCTCTTCTTTCATGTTTACAAAGAGCTGATGATTCTTCTCTTCTTTGACATTTCCTTCTGTTCAGTTGCCTTCCCACAACAGGAACGGTGACAACAATAACAGCATATTGAAGATTTTGCCTAAAATATTCTCTGTGGTTTCAAACAGTATCGGATTTCTGTTGGAGCGTGACAAAGAGTACTGTAGTTGAAGATGATAAAACTCCAATACGACGGGGATGATGGAGTGAGTTTCGGCCAATCAACATGGCGACAATGAGTTTCTCTCTTGATCACATCAAGAAAATTAAGGCCAACGTTGGAGCGTATGGTAATATATACAACTTTAGTTTTACTTTAAATGAAACTGAACATGCTCATTCATCTTCATGAAAAAAATGAAACCACGAACAGTTCACTTAAAAGACCTTGATGATAACAATTAAATTATTCGTTTTCTTTTTTCTTTCTGGGTAATTTAGTGATTATTAGAGCACCATCAAACATACTAATATTTGTAATTGCTTAAAATTATTTCTTATATAAAATAAATAGAAAAATATATCCGATATATAAATAAAATTTTAACTTAGGTGTTATTAATTTTATCGTGGTATTTATCTATATAATGGTTACAGATTATTATTGCATCATTTGAAACGAAAGACTTAAAATATATACTTGTAACAATAACATATCTAATACTGTTATAAATATATGATCATAATATTTTTATTTCTATATTCTAGAAAGTAACAACTAAAATTCACTTCTATTAGATTTTAGATAATAATGAGAAGATAACAGGAATATATGTAATTTACTATTTAGTAAACAGTGGATAGTTTTTTCACTTTTCAGTATTGAAATACATAAAATTCAGCTAATTAATTTTTTTTTTCAATTCATTACCCTTCAAAATTATTTAAAATTTAAAATTACGTTAAATGATTTCCCAAAAAAAAATGCCTTTTGCTTTATTGTCAAAAAATAAAATAAAAATAAAAGATAGGTTACGTCCTGATAATAAAGAATATATTAAATCACTTATGTTATATATATAATTAGAATGTCAATTTTGGATCTAATTGATGGGACCATGTTATATTAATATGGAAAAGAAAAGTAATACTTTTTTTTAGGAGTTAACCACTTTTTTCCACCCAAATAATGACTTAATGGCACTTTCACACCCACAAACTTTTAAAATACCATTTTACTATCCAAATTTATATTCTAACGGCCAATAGAGAGCAAACCCAGTCTAGATTGTTAGGGCTTTTGAAGAGGGAAGGACGATGGGTCTTTTGGTGGTGAAATGTTGGATTTTGGTGGTTGTGATTGATCAGAATTTGACCTGAGAGGGGCGACTGCTCAAACCCTAATCGTTCCATTATTGGCAATTGGCAGGATCGACAGGTGTAGGGTTTGAGGAGTTTTAGTTCGTGATGATCGGGGAAGAGAATAGTGGTGATGTGGGGTTGTAACAATTCTGGAATAAAAAACGAAATACAAATTTTGATAATAAAATGATATTTTAAAAGTTTTTGGGTGATAAAATATCATTAAACCATTATTTAGATGGAAAAAAGTCGTTTACTTTTAGTCTTTTATTTTATACATTGATAGAATATTAAATTATTTATTAATCATAGATAAATAATACTTTATCGCTTATGTGTTGATAGAACATTAAATTAGTTATATTATATTATACATATATATGGGCTGAATCCCACCTTTATATCAGGTTAGTGAGACGGGATTAGACTCTTTATCATTTGTTCGTATAACGTAGTGTTAACAATATAAGTTAAAATTTTTAAGGTTAGAACTGTGAGTCTATGAACAAATATAGGTTTAAATATTAAATAATTACAATTTAAGAGAGGAGGATGGGCCAGATAATCTATGTTACTTCTGGGAACTTCTTAGAGGTTGTCTCATTGTGTGCTGTCATTAACAAGTGGGTACTAGTCTATTCTGGGAACTTCTTAGAGGTTGTCTCATTGTGTGCTGTTATTAACAAGTGGGTACTAGTCTATTACACTATTTCATAGATTGAGAGTCAGAGACTATTAAATGCTACCGTTGGCAGGAGAGATTGGGTAAGTGCCCATTAAATGTGTCCAATTAGAATTAGTTCTTTATATGTTTTATACAATTAATGTTACATATACTTCTTTATTATAGGATAAAAAATTAGGTACTAATATGATCTCCTTGTTATAAATAATATAATTTCTTTTTTTATTATAAGATGAAACATTTCATCTATTTTCACATAGATACATATTTCGCATTCATGTTAAAAGACATTTTCCGTTTTAATATCATGCAACTACTTTGGATTGGGACTGCATATTCTCCAACCAGAAAGCCATGTATGCTCTTTTTTTAAATATTGATGAGTCTCCCATGCAGAATATTCCTCCCAATTAATAACCATTCTGATTTTAGTATGAAATCCGAAAAATCTAACTTCAAGTGATTACAAATCTTGATGATGACTGGTGACAGACTCTTAATGACGTGATTACGGGAACAATCTTCTTGGGGACTCGGTTATACATGCAAGAAATGAGTAAGGAGTCGAGCAAGGCACAATCTACAGCACTTGTGTTGCTTAATACCAGGGTTTTACGAAGCTACAAACCAGTAAAAGATATGGTTGAACCTAATGCCAAGACCCCTTGGGGGAATCATTTTGCCTTCTTGCATGTATCCATACCTCCATTAACTGATGCTTCATCTTCAAATCCACTGGAATTTGTCTTTAGAGCACAACAGATTATTAATGACAAGAAAAGCTCTTTAGCTGTTTACCTCACTGGTCAGCTTCTGGAGATTTTGAAGAAATTTAGAGGCCCAGAGGTGCGTATTTATTATTACACAATTAGGTGGCATTATAATTATGAGCTGTCGGTGTTCAATTAATTAGTAATTAATCACATTTTATTAAATGTTTTTGAATGTCTTTAATCCAAACATGTGGATGTTGATTGCCACAGGCAGTAGCTAAATATATTCATGGCACCTTAAAGAACTCGAGTATGGGAATCACAAACCTCATCGGGCCAAAGGAAAAAATGTCTTTGGCTAATCATCCTGTTAAAGGTCTCTACTTCACGGTGGTTGGTGCACCTCAGGTACTTTAAATCTTTTCTTTTACAACCATAATTAATCAATTGCTACTGCCTTAAGCATCTTAGAATTAATATTTTCATGCATGCGACCTAGTTATTAAGAAAAAATTTCTCCCAGTATTGTATTATTAATATGTCAAGAAAATATTGGATGGGATGAGTTGCAGAGTATTTGCATAGCAATAGTGAGTTATATGGGAGTGCTAAGGGTTGCTGTGGGAGCAGAAAAAGGCTTCATTGATGCCAAGAAGTTGAAGTCTTGCATAGAGAAAGCATTTCAGATGATGCTCGAAGTTGTATGTCAAACAATTGATCAACAGTCAACAGAATGAGGAAACGACCTAGTTAAAAGTGCTTTTAAATAAGCTTATACGCAATTATTTAATCTAAGCTAATTATACGATGATTCATGGAATAAGTATCAATACTCAAATGTTTTTTTTTTTTTTGGTGATCAAGGCAAACAATAATATCTCAGTAAATAATATGAATAGTTTTCAATATTTATTCGTCCCAATATTTAGGGGCATTTAAAAGTCGAGAATTGCGGTTTGTGTTATTAGTTTTGAAAGTTTTAATCACTTTAGCAAGTTGATTAAACTTAAGGGGTTTAACATGTTCATTTGTGTTTTTTGTGTTGTCTTATTTAACATCAATATAAACAATGCATCGATCTAAGACAAAAAGTAAAGCACACAACACATTTTTACATGGTTCTGCAATCTGCTTACATCCATGAGACCACGTCTAGATGAAACTAATCCATTATAGTAAACTTTATAGTTCAATTACAAAGCCAAAGTTAAACATCTATTGCAAAACTCTCCTTGTTATGACAACACTTCAAACTTCACCCTTTGGTTGAACTTCAAATTGCCACGCTAGCTAGCTTCACTCCACGAAAACACCTAGTCACCCTTGAGCTCATCTCAAAGTTCAACACCGAAGATGCACTTCAGCTTCAATAGCTTGAAATCCCATCAAACATTATCAATGAAAACTCACGTTCGAACATCATCATCATCATCAAAGAAACCAAGTTTGAACAACACTCAAATAGGGATAAACAAGGTATTTATAAGCCTACCTAAGCATATGAAACCTAACTCAAAACAAAAGAAATCTCAAAGAATATGCAGAGAACTTTCAGAAGTATATTCAGGCTTGAAATAAAATGTATTGGAGAAGACGATATAAAGAAACTTCTGCACCAATGCAAGGAGACAGCCAACAAACAACCTTGTTTGTGTTTAGGTATTTTGGGAAAGTTTTCACCAAACTTTCTATGGACTACAATAAACCAAAATGATTCACCTAATGAGCTAATTAAAAGTGTACTAGGACCATTTACACATGTCTCAAATAAGAATAAAATCTTAACATCAAATGGGGACGCAACATGTGTATACAAAATCTGGCTAGGCAAGTGACATCACACGGACATTAGTGTTATGACACCAGAAAACAATAAAACGATTGTGCATTAACAAAGTGATGTCACGACATCAAAAATCAATGTCACTACACTGAATTTATAATTTGACAAAAATACTTACAAGTTTTATACAAGTGTATGAGTTAATCAATAGACAGATTTATGAATTTATCACTTTCCATTGTAATATATATAGTTGTTTTATCTAATTGCTTGCTAATGGTATTAAAAAGTAAAATTAAAAAAATTAATGAAATTTGATATCCACAAGTTTTCTCTCACTAATTGCAAAGAAGATTTCTGATAATTTATAGGGAATTTCATTATAGACGGAATTACATCGCTTAATGTTTCCCTGTTCCTCTTATGCTCCCTTTGATGCTTATATAAATGATAGAGCTTTCGTTTTACTGTTGCATTAATTGAAACTTGAACATCGCACTCATCTTCAGATCCTCTTTATAATGAAACTATGAAAAGTTCTCAACAACGTTAAAAGAGCGCCGTCAACAAAATATTATTGGTAATTTGCTAAAACTTTTTTCTTATGTTAAATAAATAGAAAATAATGATCCGATACACCTATATTATATGGGCAGAAGGATTTGAATTAAAATTTAAAAGTACGTGGATTGAGCACAGATTAAAGAGCAGTATGGGCATTCTGACTGGTCGGTTTGGGTGATATTCCGCATGTGCCACATTCATGTGGACGTGGATAACATATTCAAAGGACCAGCAATTGCCAATCGGTTTCTGATCACCGACCTAATTGACGTAAATGTGTTCAAAATTTTCAGTCCATGTGACTATAATAAATAGCCTAAAAATATCTTCACATAACTCTTTATATGACCTATCCATAATGTTGAAATAAAAGAGACCAAACCGCAAATCCAAAAGCAAAACCAACATTCAAGACAGCAGATAAAAACACAAGTAACAAACATATAATAAGCTGAAACGTAAAGGAGACAAAGATTTATAGTGGTTCGGTAATCTTATAGATTACGTACATCCACTCTCCAAGGCAATAAACAGATTTTTACTATGAGAAAATAGAAACCTTACAGAGATTACACTCACCCTTTACATAGTGCACAAAACCCCTCTGTAAAGCCAGATCTCCTTACCTCTCATACACCACACCAATGACCAAGTATTAGTTACAGATTTATACAGAAGATGTAACAGAAAACAATCCAGCTAAGACCTACCACCACCGTTGATTCCATCAACGCTCTTCAAATCTCCAACGCATCCAACAGTTCGTAACAAACTTTTCTTTCTCTGTTAACCAAGAAAGAAAGCTCGAGAGAAACTAAAATGAGAAAAACCTAATTTGGATTAGGTTTATTGAAATCTGGTTTTGATAGAATTGCCCCTTAGCTTTTAGCATAATGACTTTGACTGCCCAGGTTAACTTTTGACTTCCACGTGGGCATAAATCAATTGCCACCACACAACAAATCTCCACCTTGGCACTTGATCGTTGCCCTCACTTACTGCCCTGGAAATTCCTTCTACTTCTCTTCAATGTGAAGAAGGCTCTTAAAGAGCCTTAACTTGTCCAAGACAACATACTTGGTGAACATGTCTGCTGGGTTTTCACTACCAAGAACCTTCTCCACCTTGATGGCTTTATCTTCAATCAGATTCCTTATAAAATGCAACCTGACATCAATGTGTTTCGATCTCTCATGAAACACTTGATTTTTACACAGAAAAATTGCACTTTGGTTGTCACTCTTGATTGGAACCTGCTGCTGGTTCAAACCCATTTCCTCAAGCATTCCCTTGAGCCACATTGCTTCTTTGACAACCTCTGTAATGGCAACGTATTCTGCTTTCGTAGTTGACAAAGTAACAATTGCCTGCAGATTAGCCTTCCAAGAAACCAAATTATTCCAAAAAGAGAAACAAAAACCAGTCATAGATTTCCTATTGTCTACATTTCCTGCATAATCAGCATCCACATATCCTACAATGATATTCCCTTAGTTTTGCCAGCACCCATTTTACAGCTTCCCAATGATTCTTCCTAGGATTACTCATAAACCTACTTACAGAACTAACTGCAAAGGCTAAATCTGGTCTGGTACACACCATCAAATACATCAAGCTCCCTATTGCATTTGCATATGAGATGCAAGCCATTTCCTGCCTTTCTTCTTCTGTTTCTGGGCATTGAACTGAACTGAGTTTAAAGTGCTGTCCTAAGGGTGTTTTGACAGGTTTGGAATTACTCATGTTAAACTTCTTGATAACTTTTCCAGCATATTCTTTTTGTGACAGGATCAGTTTTCCATTTTTTCTATCCCTTTCAATATTCATTCCTAAGATTTTCTTAGCTTGCCCTAAGTCTTTCATTTCAAATTGTCTACTCATCTCTTCCTTAAATCTAGCAATTTCATAAATATCTTTACAAGCTACAAGCATATCATCCACATACAAAGCCAAAAAAATGTAGCACTCACCATACAAACACTTAAAATAAAAGCAACCATCAAAGCTACTTCGAATAAATCCAGCATTCACCATAAACCAATCAAATTTTCTATACCACCACCTAGGTAACTGCTTTAATCCATACAATGATTTTTTCAACAAACAAACTTGGTTTGTGGACCCCTTTTCAAACAATTTAGGCTGCTCCATCAGGATTCTTTCTTCTAAATCACCATTCAAGAAAGCAGTTTTGATGTCTAATTGCTCTAATTCTAAATCAAACTGAGCTACTAAGGCTAAAAGAATTCTGATAGTGGTATGTCTCACAACTGGTGAGAAAATTTCATTATAATCAACTCCTTCAACCTGTGTGAAACCTTTGGCTACCAACCTAGCTTTAAACCTAGGTGTTTTTACCCCTGATATACCTTCTTTCCTTTTGAAAACCCATTTACACTTAACCACCCTACAGCCTTCAGGTTTATTAAAAAGGATCCAAGTATAATTTTTGATTAGAGACTCATATTCTTCCTACATGACAAGTTTCCATTCCCTAGAATCTTTACTAATCATGGCTTCCTTAACAGTTCTAGGCTCATCATCAATCTCTTCAACAATTTGAAGAGCAAATGCTACCATGTCAGCATGTGAGTACCTCCTAGGTGGTCTTATTTCCCTTATTTCCCTATCTCTAGCTAGTTGATAATTTTGAAAGTCATGTCCATCATCATTATTATCATCACTATCACCTAAGCTAGGTTCTTCCTCTTGGGTATGGGAATCTAAAACAGGATCTGAAATAGAATTGTTCAGGCTTGGAATATCTCCACCTAGATCCAGATTGAACACCTTTGTCCTATCTACACTGTTACTCTCTTCCTGACTCAAACCACCCAACTCATCTTCATTAAACCTGACATCTCTGCTAATAATACACTTTTTCCCTCCAATATCCCAGCATTTATAACCCATAATGCCATCAGGATATCCAAAGAAAATACACCTAATAGCCCTTGGTTGTAACTTATATGTTTTTTCATAAACAAAAACAGTGCAGCCAAAAACCCTAAGGTTACTATAGTTTGCAGGATGCCCAGACCATTTTTCCATGGGTGTTTTTAAACTAATAGCTGATGAATGTATTCTGTTAATTAGGTAAACTACTGTGTGGGCAGCCTCTGCCCAAAACCTGGTAGGTAACTTAGAACAAGATAATAGGCTTCTAACATTTTCTAGAATGGTCATATTCATCATTTCTGCTAGACCATTCTGCTAGGGTGTGTGCCTTACTGTCCTATGCCTTAGAATTCCACTTTCCCTACACAGATGATCAAACTCCTCATTTATGAATTCTAACCCATTATCAATTCTAAGTTTCCTAATTTTCTTCCCAGTTTGGTTTTCAATCATGACCTTCCAATCTTTGAATTTCCTAAAGGCCTCTCCCTTAGTTTTCAAGAAATAAATCCAAACCCTCCTAGAATAGTCATCTATGATGCTGATGAAATATCTACAACCTCCCAAAGATGGATATATAGTTGGTCCC